TTAACAACACCCACAAAATCTGCTGGGCATTTAAAAAAAAACGACTGGTGTAGAATTTGTAAGACAATTCTTAAAGCTACGGGCACATCAAAGTGCTCTTCGGAAAACCTTTTCAAGCCTTCGGATCGAAAAGAAAGCAAAGGTCTTATTTTAGCAAATGCCTGTAGAGCCATCGGYCTGCAAATCCAGCAAAGTGACCATCATTCTGATAGGATTTGCCGTTCTTGTGGCAGGAAAATTCGAAATACATTGGAAAACCTAACATTTCTACGTGAGAATATAGCAAGCGAATCTCCGTCGTTCACACGAGAAAAACGTGGACTTCCCACTACGATAACACCGGAGAGAAGTTCCTACAAAGCCAACAAGTTATCAAGAGGATCAGGATCCACTTCATCGGCGAAAAAACTATTTTTACAAGGAAATTCGGATTCGGGTCATGTAGACGATTCAGAAGTGAATTTGGGCGACCAAACTGATCAACAACAACATCAAGAGACTTCTCCCCTCAACATTGACGACACTACATTCGAGGACGCTATTAAAAACCTCTATAATATAGACACTTTTGAATTTCAGGAAAGAAAAGAAAGTGCAGTACGAATTATTATTGCCTTCCCAAACGGTGACTTAAGAGTCAAAGAGGATTTCGATAAACTTACTAAGACAATCATTCGCGGCATTGAGCGCAAAAACTGGAAATCTGTCGTGCATGCTATTTTCAAGCACGAAAAGGCAAGGGAAGAGATTCCAGATGTTTTAAGGTCTGAAATAAGTGGAGAGTTTTCAACGTTAAGTTCCGACACTATACTAAAGGGTACATCACCCGAGGATTTAGCAGCGTTCACTAATACCATCTTGATTCACGAGATAAGTGTATGTTGCCCGTATTGGTATGCTTGCATGAATGGCGCACTTGGCCTAAATGAGCACAAGGAAAACAAAGAACGTCGGCAAAAGGCCGTTAACGCGATGTCCCTCGCAACTTCTGTTATTGCTAGGCACAAAAATCCAGCTCTGTCTGCCATGGCTTACCGTATATCGATGGTTTTATTTAATGGCGGGCTGAGTTGGTACGACACAGTACGTCTAAATCATTTGGGCGTTTGCATGAGTCCAGACAGTATAGTAAACTTTCAAAAGAAACTGGGAATTGCTTCGGACTCAAAAGTCCTCATTTGGAAAAAGAGCATAGAAGARGTTCATGACGCAGTGAAATTTCTCCAACAAATCAAGAAGGAGCAAGTACCAGAATTCAAGGAGGACGACATGGTAATAGATTCAGTTGTAAAGATTGATGAAGATATTCTAAAAAGTTATCCTGGCTACTCCAAATCCCTATTTGAGTTGTGTTCAAATCTTATTGGTGATGCTTTGAGAAAAAGTGGAGACACGGTCGTGTTTGACTCAACCATTGATGATGTGATTTATTTCTTACAAACAAATAAATTTCCTTACTACAGGTTAGTGATCATTATTATATACCAGCCAAAAAAWCTAAGTCATAACAGCTAGTATTGCATTTGTTTCATAGATATTAATATATTTACTTGTGCAAACTGTTACAAAATCCTTCCTATTTGTTTTGCCAGCAAGTATGTACACATATAAAATCACGAGCTTTGCAAACGTAATAGGATGGACCATTTGACATTTGTAGAAGAGGGGTAGATAATGAGATATATCCTTCTATTTCAATGACCATTTAATGAAACATAAATTTATTGATGTACRTTTGATGTATAACACAGTTTCACAAAATAAAGATAACTAGAAAATTTAGCATGTTGTATATTGCATTGTTAAAGGATTTGCAAATTTTCTTTTTTTCAGAATTGTTGGGGACAACATCGACTTCCACGTCAATGCCAGATTCCAGTCAAGAGAAAGACCTAACAAGTCACTCCACTGGACGCAGCAATATGCTGTCCTTGACAGGATCAACTTCACTAAACTGGACAACAAGAACCCACAGAAATCCTTCAAGGAAATTCAGCTTATCGATCTTCTCCCTGTTCAAGAGGTACAAGAATCATTCAAGAGAAACTGTGCGGTTCTGGTCAGCAGGATCATAACAAAGCACATCAATGCCTTCAAACATCTSCATGATGTAGTTGTTCGCCATATACCACATGTTCATAGTGGTGAGATGTCTACWAAGTCTGAAATAGTATGTATTTAATAATCCACAAACAATAACAATAACAAGTTATAAGGTCACTATTTAATGACATCATAAAAAGCATCCATAATCTCAGTAACATCTTCACACATTGAATCATGCAGATAATATAAGATATGGAGCTAAATTATGATGACATAGCATTTCAATAATTGTACATGTTTTTTTCCACAGTGCTGCCTTGGTCTTCAATTCAAAAATCCCAATGTAGCTGGTGAGATGGCTCAACTGCTAATGATTAACCAGGATAAATATGTTCCCTGCTCAATAACAAATGGAAAGCCTGATATTGCAGTCAAGATACCACTTCATGGGGACCAGCTTTTTGAAGAACGAGCACGTAATGTGCAATCAACATTTMTCGATGGCATTAACTCCTACGATCGACTAGAAGGGATAATTACAGAAGCAGCAGATTGGCACGCCAAGGTCAACCTTTATTCGGTAATAAAGTAATTTTATACATTGAARCTACATTTAGCTTAGTTAACTTAACATGTGAAAACATTGTGAAAGAAAAGATATCATATGGTCATTTAGAAATGATTGTGTGCTAGTTTAGCCTGCATTAGGGCTCTAAGGAAGGGGGGAAGGGAGGAAACCAGAAATGATATGTAATGCAAAATGATACCTTTTTTGAAACTTTGTTCCCCATTTTTTGATAATTGAGTTTTCAAATTTCACTCAACAGATCGAATTTGATTTGTTTGTAAAGGAACAGTCTGCCAAAGAGATTGGTACTAGTCGGGCTAGTATGAACAGGGTAGGCAAGACAAGAGCTGCTCAAGGAGTTAAAAAGCACTATAACGAATACAAAGACTTCCACCAGTGTGAATTGGAAGCACATGTGTGTGCATCATTTATGGAAATGATAAATCTAAATAATGTAGATGGTAAGAGCTACAAATAGCACATACATCAGGTCTTACCATGATAGACTAATTACATTGTTGTTTTGGTAATTGAAATAATCAGATGTCATTTATTCATCAGACACCCCAGACCTTGAAATTCCACCACTAGAAGCTTCAAGTGAAACAAGGAAGACCTGGCTCACACAGATTTGTCTGAAGTATGTGGACAACTACTTGGGAGGCAGTATAATAACAGACTTGGTTGATCAAGTGAATGACCTGCAGCAAACTGCTATTAACAAATTTCAATGTAGAGCAGAGGGTTGTCATTTAGAATATGTACATCACTCCAGGCGTGTCAGGTACAAAAATTACTGAATTATTAAATACATGATAATATTCAATAGTCATCAATTGACAGATCACTGGTAAGTACACTTGAGTGCATACATAGCCTTCGTCACGTACMCATGAAATAAAATATATTCAGAAATCGTACACAAAGGAAACAATACCTCACAACTAATAGTCACTAAATAAGAACTATTACTAGGTTAAGTAACAATTTAGATTTTATTTCATGGACACAGTGTAAGCACTCTTATAATGACAAAAAGGTTGATAATTCTTTTTGATACTATGATTAGTAAATGCATACTCATTGTTACTTTGCAAATTTGTCTAAGACATGAGATAGAGGTCCACAACATGCAAGCAGAGCCTTCTAATGATGAAAGAGATGCTCAGGGTTATTATTACTGCAGAGCTGGATGTGGCTTGGTGTACAAAACAAAATCTACAAGAAATAGGTATACTGACTGTGAGGTATACTAAGTATTTATTAATAGTTCATTAATAAGTTTTCTCATATTTTAAAATTACAAGATARAATTTCCCAGAATGCTCAGTTGTACTGTTCATAGAATGTTTTCTAGAACATAGTCATTTTTTTCACTTTTAGACATGAGAAGACTATGCACCCTGGCATTACCTCTGATGATTTACAAAAATCCAAAGAAACTTCCAAACCCAAAAAAGACAAACAGGATTACCTGCGGARTTACCACATTGCTAAGCTTGGCTTTGGTTTGCTGCTATTTGAATTCGAAGATTCAGTCAAAGAAGGCGATGGAGACCGGCTCTTCAATGTCTACAAGTTTGCCTTACTATTCTATAAGAACTATGGTCATACGAAATATGCGTATGTGACTTTGCTTTATTTGGTTAAAATTAGTGCTGCTTTAACAGCATTCCAAGCCAAATCCATGAAATATAATCGTTTCTATAACAAATATGGAGGAAAAGGAAAGAATATTTCGTTAGATCTAAAGATGGAACAACTGAATAAGATGCTGAAATCTCTCTGGAGAGGTCTAGGTGTTAATCTGAATGAAAGCAATGCTGCCAGAGTGGCAGATGCAGTTGAGGGTCTTGAGGTTATTCTCCAATCAATCGATAGAGATTGCATTCTTGCTGGCAGAGAGGGCTACAGAGCTAAAAGCCAAAATCAAGAATCAGTGAAGCAAATCATAACTGATCTAATAGAAAAACAAGTATTCAAGAATACTCTCCCTAGGGATGGACACCCATCATTTCCTGAGTTCTGTGCAAATCTTCTTGCTGATCTTGACTACAGAAATTTGCATACATGGATGATGGATCTCATAAAGAAATGGGAGGCAGCTTCAATGAAGTAAACAGTTATGCCTCTTTGTTAAATTTATGATGCATTTAAAAATCTATATACATCAATATGCACAAATTATGGTCATTTTGATTCATCGCTAGTACTACTTTCTGATATATTTTATATATTTAAAATTAGAGCAAAGATCATAATTGCTGCACATTGCTGTATACATGTATAGTATATTATTATAGTATATGTATATATCTTAAAAAAATTCTGAAAACAAGTGTATATTACACATAACACAATAGTATTTAATCAAAGTAATGCCTRGACATGTCAGAGTTACAGTTTTGCAGTAAAGAATACTTGCAATAATTGCATTTTCAAATAAAACAAGTAAGTTTTTGACTTTAACAAAGGGACCAACCATTGTCAGACATCTCTTAATAAAGTAATTTACACACAATGATAACTGGTAGGATCAAAATTATTTCCTAAGGTTCCATAGAATCAATTAAAATTGTTTATTGTACAAAAGAATTCATTGCAATAAATTCGATTCATCATGTGTCGAATCATCACTGTCCGATGCATCAGGAGATATCATGTCCAGTTCCTCTTGAAACATTTCAAACAAATCATCAAACTGCTCTTCATTAGATGAAGGTTCGGACGTAAATGTTCCCGGTTGGTCCAGCTCTATGTGGTCATAAATGGTAAGGATTGACAGATCAATGTGTGGAATATCTGAGAATGTTTCATCAAGCACTTCCAGTATTGCAATAGCATGGTGAATTGAGAATACAGGTAGGTATGAGTAGATGTCATTTATAGTGAAGAGCTTGTGACAGTGTTCATTTATAGCAGATATGAGATMATCGGAGAAGGCATGGGCTGACGTTGCTCCAAAAACKTTATAACCACTTGGGTATGATTCTCGTATTTCTTCAAAAGCATTTGTAARGCACTCTCTGTCTTCTTCTCTGACCTCTCTTGTAACTTGCAATCGTCTATCCACAATTTTTTCATCACAGTGACTTTCAAAACACAATTTCTGTTTGCATGCATCTGTCTTACATTCACAGTTCACAGCACAATTTGAACAGCAATTATGACCAGGATTCAATGGCTTCACATTAGCATCAAATGGTTTGTATGCACTCACTCTTAAGCAACCATTAGCTTTAATAAATTCTTTCACATCGTCCTMACAATGTATTAATTGATGCCCATGATAGACAATTATTACATGTGAAAGTTCTCCATCYCTCCCAGCCCTTCCAGCCTCCTGATGTTGACCSAGGAGAGACCTAGCGGGGCCCCAATTTAATATGTAGCGCACATCTGAGAAATTGACCCCCATACTTAATGCAGAGGTAGCAACAATGACTCGCTTCTTTCCACTCTCTCTGAGGGACTTAAGGATGGCATCTTTGTTTGATTTCCAAGACATTGAGTGGAAGATACCCAGAACAAGGTCCTCTCTTTTCTGTGAAGTGCTTGGATTATATGCATATTTACCAAGCTTGAAAACAAGTTGGTTAACCACTACAGAAACATCCTTCAATGTATTGCAAAAAATTATAGTTTTGGGAGTTTCCCTCCCATGACTTTTCACAAGCTCGACAATCCAGTCTAAGTGTTTGTGCATTTCTTCCTTGTCTGTTTTCATCACAGTAAACCTTAGGTTGTCACGATTTGGACTAACAAATATGATCTCGGGTTTGTCCATCAGTAGTTGTTTACAAATAATACTCTGTGTTTCTTTGTCAGCTGTTGCGGTCAAAGCAAGCAATGGTACACCTACGAAAAAAAATAAACATTTTTATTCTAAAATAATCTCCATCMTTTTATATTTACTTGCAACAAGTAGCAAGGAAAATAGATTATACACTGTATTACTTACCTTCTTTACAAAGAGAGCGCAAAGTTGAAAGCTTCCCGTAAGCACTTCGAAACGCCTGATCTGCTCCTTTTCGTTTTGTTCTCTTTCTGTAAACATATATCAAAGCTTTTCCGATTCGTATTTTTTATGAAAGACTTGACTTACTAGTAAGCTTACCTTTTACCGGACCACGTTTCAACAGTGTGGCATTCATCGACTACGAGTCCGCAAAGTTGTTGATGAAGTCGCGAAGACGAATTCTTCAGTTCACCTTGAMATTCTTGAGACAAAACCGCTTCTGCAGAACCGAAGAGTATTTTATATTTACAGTCTTGTAGTTCTTTCACCGTAATAGTTGATAAATCAGCGGCTGGAAAATCGACAGCATTTAGTATTTCGCATTGATCTTCGATAATGCTCTGCAAAGGTGAGACAACCAAAACCACAGCTCCGTTTTCTTCATCGTCCTTCAAGCTTGCAAAGGTTTGATATATTCTACTCTTTCCAAAACCAGTGGGCAAAACAGCCAAAACATCTCTTCCTTTAAGTAATCCGTGGATAGCTTTCTTTTGTTCAGGCTTTAAATCGCCAAAAGGAGAAGTCAGACTAGAATCCGCCATATAATTTTCGAAATGGCCCGGTTATCGTCTTCACGTCTCTATTTTGACAGTGGATTGACAGCGTCAATCAAAGCGCTTAATTTCAACCAATCAGGACACGCGGCCTCTGGAGGCCGCGAGTACACGATTTAGCGGCTCGTTCTGGCAGGCTCTCTTTTTTTCCGCTCCGCCCCCCCACCCCCCTCCCCTTCCGTTTTCCCCCTTCCCCCCTCCCCTAGAGCCGCTACGCA